TACTATTTGTAGTTAATACTATATATATAGAGAATTGTTATTGCCACCTCCCATTTTTGTTAATGCCACCTTCTATATAACCCTAACTGGTCTAAAATTTTAAAAATTTTACAAATAGTATTTAGAAATAGTATGAATTTATGTAATTAATTAGTTAGCAGTTAGGGTAAGTATTGTTTATAAAGTTTCCAGAAAGGTTAAAGGTTAATTAGAGTTATATAGAGGGTAACATTAACAAAAATAGAGGGTAGCAATAAAAGTTCTCTTTATATATATAGTATTAACTACAAATAGTAAAAATTAAATAATTTTTTTAAATATATATAAATTTATAACTAATATTAACATTAATTTATTACTATATAATATAAAATTATTTATTAAATAAATAATAATTAAAATATTTTATTTTTTTATATATTAATTTTATTTAATTTATTTATTTACAATATAATTTTTTTTTTTACAATTTATTGTGTTCGATTTCGATTTTTATATTTTAATTTTTTAATTTTTTCCCTATTTTAATTTTTTTTAATTTTTTACTTTTTTTTAGATTATTTATTTTTTTAGAATTACCAGCAGCTACAAATCTAATAAAAACTAACATATGATTTACAGCTGTTTTAAAATTCTGGAACAACGATAAAATCGACCGATAAGCATTCAGCTGAATTCGATAAGCTTTTGAATTGTGCTATCGGAATTACAGCTATCTTCATAATTCCTGGGACACCTGTAAAATTAGCCGAATGATTTTTGGCTGATTCAGTTAAGTATTATTCGGCAAAATATATTATGTATATACTAATTTTTATTGAATCTATTATGCCAAAATAATAACTTACCCGGATCGGCGAAAAATCATTCAGTTAATTTTTTACAGGTGTCCCAGGAATTATGAAAACGGCTGTAATGTAATTCTAAAATCCAATAATGATAATACCGAATTCAAAAACTTATCGAATTCAGCCAAAATAATTTGTATCAGTTGTCCCACAATTCGAGAACAGCTGTAAATCACTTACCAGCGGCTTCAAATTTTTTTGGTTCTGTTTTTAGATATAATAAAAAAAAAATGGTTTGATTAATGATGATACAATTTAATGCAAAATTAACATTAATTTAAATTACATGCCTGAAACTGCAATTCTTCTTGATTAATTCTGTAAGTATTGCAATTGAATTCTTTCCAGTAAATAACAATACGACGCTAAATCTAATAGCAACTGCACTAAATTCTTCCGATTCCGTCTACAAATATAATTGGTTTTATAATTCCCAAAACACTTGATAAAATTAGCTGAATGATTTTCGAACGATTTGATTAAGTTTGTGATTTCGGCATGACTAATTCAAATTGATATATAATTTATAGCTGTTCTCATAAATTTTGGGCAGAATAACTGATGATAATTCAGCCGAATTCGATAAGTTTTTGAATTTTGTGTTATCGGGATTTAATGTAATGCCGAAAATTCAATGTTGATAATACCGAATTCAAAAACTTATCGAATTCGGCTGAATTATCATTGGTCATTTTGCCCAGAATTTATGAGAATAGCTGTAATTGTATTGAGTAAGTATTTCTGATCATACTGAAATCACAAACTTAATCGAAACGTTCGAAAAATCTTTCGTCTAATTCGTTATTAGGTACTCCATGAATTATGAAAAACAGTTGTAAATAAATATACCACGATAAGTCGATACAGACTAATATATCGAAAAAACTTACCAGTTCAGTCTGTAAGTATAGTAATTAAATCTTTTTTAGTAAATCATAACACGAATCACGAACATCAAAATCCCAATGGGTAAATCTTGATTTGTCAAACCCCGAAAGAACAAATTCCGAAAAGGTAATATCCTGACAACTAAATCCTGAAAAAAAAGTCTCAAAATTCATAATTATGAATTTTAGGATTCTTTTTTTTCAAGATTTAGCTTTCGGAATATTACCTCTTCAGAATTAGTTGTTACAGAATTAGAACAGCTGTAAAACTTTACAAAGATCATCAGAGCCGATATTTTTGGAACTGTCCTAGTGTTACTAACCTAAAAAATTTTATTAGTCGATCAGATGTCAAGATCATGTGTTGCACAGAAGAAAAACAACAAATCAAAAAAATATTCATAACTCAACATTTTACCTATGAAAAATCTTCTGTGCATTAGCAAAAAGTTTTTCTTGGTAGTAAAAAAAACTCGTTCTAATCTAAATTTATAGCAAAACGTAACCCTAATATAGCAGTGAAATTTTTAAGCAAAATTTTTTAGGTTAGTAACGCTAGAACAGTTGTTACATACCAATAAAATCTTTTCGGTTAGGGTTAATATTTTAATCCAGAAATAATCACTTACAACCGGTTTTATAGCTGTTCTTATAAATTCTGGGACAACTGAAAAATTTCTGATGACCATATTCAATAAGTTTCTGAGCTTTGCCCAAGGCAGTTACTTATTGATTCTGAATCGGTAACTTATCGAATTTGATTATTAGAAAATTTTCAATTGTCCCAGAATTTATGAGAACATCTGTAATCATTAGATCCAGATTTAATTGTTAAATCTGGATTTAATCCATAGATTCGATAAACTGTCTTAGCGTTACCAACCTAAAAAAATTTCGCTAACCAATCAGATTCAGATCAAGTACTATGCAGGAGTTTGCCAGGGCGGCCCTAGGGCGGCCCCCCAAAGTTCGCTAATAATCGACATCACACTGCCGCAGCATATAATTAATTTCTTCGTTTTCGATACGAAAGTTTATCAGTTTTTTGAATCTTCGAACTTTTGATA